GCCTCAGAATATAATGTTATTTGCGGGATTTTGTCCCACATTCGAAGAATCTTTGTATCTGTATTATTAAAGCACTCCCTTAAGACACAGTTCACGGGGGGTGATGCAGTAGGAACGAAATCGTCGCGTCGCGGCAAGTGAGACGCCGCGCGAAGGAATGTAGCAGAATTCAGCAGTAAGTAAAAAATATAGGAACAAAAGAACTAACAGTAGAATCATGCCAAAAGTAATAATTGTATAGCGATCGAGCTGTATGAAGGACGCTGGAGCCGTATTAATGGCGAAACGAAGTTCGCGACAGCCGCGTGCGGCGAGTCGATTCCACAAAACCGTTCCTACTGCCCGTCTTCCGCTGTTCAAATGTGTGTGACATTGCGTACGACTGCCCACAATAAGTTGCCTTCGTGCAAAGTGTAGTACGTCCTGATGCGAATTGTGCAACCTCTACAACCTCTATAACGCCGTGAGAGCTCATCTGCCTTTGTGTATCTACCTACATCTACCAACGTCGGCCAAGCCGGTTTTAGTGCCCTTACTACACCCTGTTTAGGTCGACCGACAGCGTCCCTTTTGCTTTCCTTGGGAGTTACAGTTTCACCTTAGATAAAAATCTCGTAAATAATTCTTATCGCGGACTGCGCCTTATACGCAGATGTTTTTCAGCACTCATTTTGGATGTAATGTTTTGTCGTCAATCAAACTTGCTGGAGAGGACTTCACTCCTATTTTACGTTGCTAACGCTGTATTTACCTTTACATTTTGGTGCACCCTCTACTTGCTCTCCTGTATTCCTCTTTAAGGAATTATCGCTCAACCACCTACAAGTGCATTTCTCTGAATGCTAAACGCGCGTTGTATTTCGTCATCCTGCAATAGTACGTCGTATACTGAAATTAAACCAGGCATTAAATAAGAGTTAAATTATTATAAACCGCGAATAGCGAACGAAGGCGATGCTAGTAATATGAAATATTGGCATAACTTTACTACGAGTATTATTGAGACCATGGCTATATTTAATGGTCCACTTCACGATAACAATGGTTTCTCGGAAATCTCCCTCTGATGAATCTGTGGCGTCCGCGTATACCATATGTGGCACTGTCAGACCGTTAAACGGCCTAGCTAGTCCGTTTTTAGAGCTCAGAGATCGTATCGGCTGGATGTCACACCCATAGCGGACGAGTTTCGACGGCGTTGTAGAGGCTGCACCATCTCAAGGGACTTCCATGTTTGAAATTCAGAGAGCAAGAAGTGAGCCCAAGTTCAAGAGAAACTATGACAGGGTTGATGTCGTCACTTTTTAAAGCAATTGTAACAATTGAAATCTCGTCCAATTACCCCATATATGTCCTTTCCGTCATGATTATCTCGCGTACTTGTCGGATTTTCTCGCTTTCTTCCCCACTGATGCATTATTCTCCACCAATCCTATTCCGCTTTTCAACTCAAAAAGTGTACCTCAAAATTATACTGTGTTATTTCTTACATATGTATAGTCAAAATTCAATCGAGCTGCATTTTGTGGCAGTTGCCCATCCTAGGGAAAGTATAATTGCCCTTTTGCACACCAGTGTGTAATGCGAGAAGGAGAAGTCTAAATGAGGGGGTATAGCAAGATAATGAGTGTGAGAAGCTGTGGAAAAAAGCCCTGTGGCACGTATTTTCGCGATCCGTGGGCCAGAAGGATGACCGTGTACCGAATACCGTAGCACAGATCGTCGTCGTGCCTATTCATGCGTTACGAGCAATGCATCAGTTTTTCAATCCCTTTCTAAATGGCTTCCTGCTGCCTACATTTCCTGCCCAACTGACTAATGACAAAGAGCTAAGGCACTCTAGTGTTTTAGTTTGCCGTTAGAAATGACATTGTTGTGGTGGACGCTCTTTCCAACAAATACACAATCCGTCGAGTGACTACCGTAACCAGACAATCTCTTCATGATTGTCATTAGGTGAACTCTGCTTCAGCTTCTATCTGCATGAGCTTCAATGCATGTTCTGAGTGCAACATATCTGATCGGCTGTAAGGCTGTGTCTTTCGTTTGATTCGTTGAGGTGACTCGCTTTTGTGAGGAAAATTTTGAACCCAGTTTGGTATAGCTGCTAAGGGAATCCCAAATAAGTCCATTCAAGCTTGGGAGAAGATTTATGGGACTTAGTGCTTCCTATTCACTATACTCATTCCTTTTTGTTCAACTTTACCCATTTTCCTTAATGTATCTCGCCGAGATTATATGGCCGTGCATCTCTTATAGCCACAGAGATGTGATAGTGACATATTGGAATTCTGTTCCGCTCTTGAGAGTTCCTTCTACTCAACATTAGGGTAAGCGCCCAATTCTAATCCATCTGTACTTACATTTCTCGTAGAGCCTGAGGTCTCCCTGAGGATTACTTCGACTCACTTTGTGCTGATAGGTTTCTACCCTTTTGCAGCGCCGTTTTGACGAACCCTCATTAGGAAATGGAATTCATCATTGAGCACGGATTTCAGTGCTCATTATACAATGAGTTTCGGAATGAGATGCCTGGATCTAATCATTCAATGCTATTAAATGGAACCAAGAAATTGTTGGGGCTTTTCTTCATTTCCTTCTTATCTGATATAATCATGTAACCAAATCAGAAAATGTGTCTTCTTGATGGATGACGACAACACCAGATGAAAGATTAATATGTTTATCAATTTCCTGTAGGCCGTGCCTTGGCCCACTATTGCCCAGGTATTGTAAAAGGCTTCTATCAAGACTCTCGACTATGTTCTTTCTTTTTGTCGCATTTCAATTTCGTCTTCAAATGTTCTGGGAAGTATTACGGGCAGGTGCTTCAATGCATATCGAGGCGTTTCACATCCTATTCATCAGGGAATGCTGGTTCTTTTTCTGTTGCTTAATCCTTGGTGAATGTGTTCTGCTACGAAGAATTTCTCCAAGTCATCAACCCCTTCCAGTTTTATTTTTTTAGTCTTCTGGGTTCGTTTCCCCACGTTCCCAAGTCCATTTCTATGTGGTGCTTTGTGCTTACTTAGCGCTACAACAGTTGAAATTGAATAGCTGAACCAAGCAAATGAGACTCTCTGTGTTAATCTTTGGCCGCGTATTCCAGGACCTTTGTAATCGTTTCTCGTGCCCGGAATCTTTTCTCGGAAGGTAAATGTCCAGTGCCTCGCTTTCTCAGCAGGAGCATTTGTGAGCAATCCTGCACTGTTTGCTTTTCCGTCAGTCTCATCGTACACTTAAGCCTTCCTGTTTGGTAATACATGCATTGAAATTATTCATGACATCTAATTGATTCAAATCCTCGCATGAACAGTTGCGAAGCACGCAAATGCCTTGTTTGTTAGAACGCACACACGCAAATCTAATTTTCCATAGTCTTTTCCCGAAGGAACAGAAAAGTAAAACATGACGTTTCGGGCAAGAATGCTTTGGAGATTTCTGTCTCCGGTCCTAATTCGTCCTTTAATCCTTTTTTGGGTGGAACAACAAATAAGCCCGTTGATAGTAACATAGCCCTGTTTCCATGAGCAGTTTATGATTCTCCCTTTTACAATTTTTCCCAGAACTGACAGCAAGGGGTGACACATAAAGTTTCGATTGTGTAGTGGCTTGGGAAAACAAGCCACATGTGAATGGTAGAGCAAGCACCAGTGCACAGATTTTTGACAATACACGACTTTCTTTTCGCGAAGATCACGTCACCTGTTTGAGGCACATTCTTTCTCTGCAAAATTGTAACGTAGTGCCTTTGTAATCAATTGGGTCGACGGATGACTCACGAATTTTTAATTTTTGCTGTACTTTCATTGACCATCACTTGGATACCAGTAGTAGAGGTGATGCTCGATGAATTTCGGCGGGTTGGCTGACTATTGAATGGTGATCTGCTCATTGATCCACACTTGCCAAATGGTATCGATATAGATGTGAATGGATGTCTTTTCTATGGAGTGCTCCCTTGAAATATAAACGTTTCTCTTGCATCAAACTAACAAATACATACATTTATAAACATTTTGATCGTAGTTGATCTGCCAGATTATTTATTTCGGTGAGACTCAGAGTTTTCCTCTCTCGGACCTTGAATGTCGTTTCTACCATATGTTGTTTCCGTGGATATTTTATTGGAAATCATCTCTATAGACGGTAATGTGCCTTTCATTTTGACGTGGGTGTTCTAGTTAATGTGGTCCGCCCTCTCCATACTTTTCCGATATCTTACATTTTTCTGTCCTTACTGTATACATATTCTAATAGTCTCATTCCTTTCTCTCTAACGCCAAGAAGGAGCATATCCATTAATCTCCGACGGAGTTTGCACCTCTTTCTGTGAGTCTTCTCTGACGCTTGTACTTTCTGTCACGGTAGTTTTTTGTGCTTTCTCTTTCAGAGCTGTCATAAATTCAATCACCTATTCCACGACGTCGACTTCGATATCATTTGGTGCTATGTTGTCGCGCTGGATGTTTGTCTAGTCCCAAGCCAAATCCTACTTAGCCCAATGTGCTTAAAACTTGTTCTCATTGCCGTCATTGAAATGTAAATACAAGGCGCTCTCTTGTTTGTTTCCTTTGCTTATAACATATGCACTTGTATGCACTTCTGGAAAGAGCCATGGTAACGGGTTACCGGTTACTGGGGACCTCGACCCTTCCCAACCTTTCTAACGAGACAGAGCAAACATATGGGGGCATTATAAAGTGGTGATTTGCTTTCGTGACAACGTTTCTTCCTCGCTAATTCAATGTGTGAAGGCGGCTTTAGTATGCTGGCATGAACTTCTTACTCACTCTCTTCATTTCAGCAAATTTGCGCTATCGACGTCGACGCACTGTGCTCTGTGCTCCACAACCACAGCAGCGAGACGTGAAGGAGAGGGCTAATCATTAGAAGAGGAGACAGGGCAGCGGAACAGCCAACCAGTTAGCCAGCTCTGTTTCTGGGCGTGCCTTGAGCCGCCACCGCCTGCAAGTATTTTCGGATACCTCTACCGCAGTATGGCCACCCTTGTCGCATCGTCGACGTCTTCTGGCTCCCCATCAACGGCAGCTGCTACGTCGACGCCGACGACTGGGAGTGGGGCCAGTGCTTCGAATCAATCTTCACCGTCAAGTAATTCTCCTAAATCACCTATTCCACCCACTCCTCCTCCAAATACTCGAATGGAAAGCGTTACTAGTGAGGAAGAGGTACTGTCTTCTATGAACTTTTTTCTGTGATGCGGTGCTCGTTTTGTTGATTTGCCTGTCATTATTACGTATGTGACCTGTTTCCAGGTAATTGAATTCCTTCGTGAACACTTCACCACAAAGGAGCCCATCCTTTCTAATCTTCATATCTCTAAAATGTGAGTGTGGACGTTTCGCTGTGACCCCCTTCTTATTTCCATTCTTTTTGAAAAATTTCAAAGTTGACTCTCGGATCTGACCAAGTTTCTCAGAAAAAGTCTAAATTTTCCATGACCGATGACAAATGTTCCGAGTTACAGGTGAAAAGGTATTGCAATAAAACTCAGGATTTCTGGGAAAATTGGTTTCAGTGAATTTGACTTTTAACAGTCCCCTGAACACATTCAAGCCATGGTGGAGAGATTTGTTTTCCCGATGCTAATTGAATGAAGCGAGGCAAGCAAGGGATACGGGACATATCGCAAAGGAAACATTCGCGCTCAAAAACACGTCCCTGCGCAAGAGCTCATTTTACGTCTGCCTCATCATTGCCCATAGTTCGACTAAGTTCGGGACAGGGCAGACACGAAATGCGCGAGCGCATTTTACCTTTATTTTCCCATGCCATCCCTTTCAAACCTTTGTGATGCTTATTTCGTTGTATTCCTAAGTTGAAGATGCGCTTACCTCTTGTATAAAGCTACTTAATATGCTTCAATTATGGTAGCTGTTGCTAGTTACTGTAAGCCGTGGTACAGTATAACAGTTTACTCTTGACACTTGGCCCAGATAACAATAGTTTTTCGACCTTATGTTGAATCTAATTTGTAGGTGCCGCATAACACATGAACAGTTGCTGTGTCGAAATGGTTCGAAAAGCAAACTCGTAAGCAAGAAAAAGTACAAGGGCACAGTTCACGTTGAATAGTTTCTGAAATTTCCCTTGTAGGAACCTGTGTCCCCCCAGGAAAGCCTAACGGACACTGCCGGGTCGAAAAACGGCCTAGATAGGGCGTAATGAGGGCCCCAGAACCGTACACATCCACGGCGGTCAAGTTACTAAGCGCTCTAAGAGCTGTAGAGGTTGCAACGTACGCAATGGGACCCTCATCTTGCATGCAGGCAGCTTACTGTAGCCAGCTGTATGCAATGGCGTGCACAATTGAACAGCTCGTCCAAACCCCCTTCGATGTAACTTCTATCGTGACATTCTCGTCGAAATCCCAATTTTGTTTCATTTTTGAAGCTGTATGTTTCCCTAAATGTGCCGATTTTTGCATTTTTTTTTTTTTGATTTTCTTGGCGCTGTTCTTAACAATCACTCCCATTATTCATCTAAAATTGGATACCCCAAAACTATCGTGAATGTAAAGGTCATTGATGGCTACCAATGTGTTTTCAAGATGGGTGTACAGAGAAACCGAGTCGTCATAGTTATTCCGCCTAGTTTTTCGATCAATGGTTTTAGTGATGAACTCACTGTGTTACTTACTGATGTGGTTCGCGATTGCATGAGTTGTCCAGCATCGAGGGTGATCCGAGATTCCCAATCCAATGAGCTGCTTGGAGTTTGCCTTTCCAGCAGAGCGTCGTTATTTGAAAAGCAGGTACCGTATTTCTCATTAACTTTTTCCGTGAGTTTTTCCTTCAGAGTTGCCATTCTTCATCTTATCCATTTAACTTTCATGCACTTTTTTATCTTTCGCTGGTTGCTTGATCTCATAAGCAGCGCCATCGACTCATCATCCGAACTTAAAGTAAATCATCGCCTGCGTCTTATAGACTAGCGAGCTGAATTTTCTCACTATGATTTATCACAACCATTTCTCTTTCTGAAAAAGAGCAGAAGTTCAGAGCCAGGTAAAATGGATAGGATAATGGGGCTGCAATGAGAACCCCTTGTATTGGGTGGTATCCTCTCTGGATATGCCATGTGAACCGGTCTGATCTCTCTCAAAACTGAGAAGACAGAAGCAACAATTAAGCTCGAGAGGGGGGAGGTATGTCGTAGCCGGAAAGACGAAGTGATAATCGCGGTGGAATATGACCTTCATAATAAGGACACGACTGTTATGATCTGTCGTGTCGGGGCCGTGTCGACGGAGGTTGAGGAAAATTTTGAGCGGTCAGCAGAAGCTTCAGCGAAAAGTATTCTAGGTGAGCAGGGCATTTATTAGTCTGGGAGATGTTTATGGCCTGAGTAAAAAAGTAGGAAATTGTTGGCAACTTTCTGATATTGTCGAAATTGGGTAGACCTTCAAATACCTCTTTGGCTCTATGTGCGGAATTGGAACAATCTGGTGCACTTGGTGCAATCTATTGTGTCTGAGTTTGAAATATTTTATTATTTTCTTTTTGATAACTGGAGATAAATGTTCTTCTGTTAATAAAGATTTTTTATTCATTGATATAAAGTCAAAACAGTCCCGTATTTACAGTGGTTCTTCTGACCTATTTATTTTCACTTGCAGATGGATCGCCTTTTTTGTTACGAGTTCACTGATCCCCAACTGCGCATAGCTATCGACTTCCTAAAGTCCGTTTTCAATCGTGCTGATGTCGCTTACCATCTTGAAGAAAACCATGTGACCAAGCCGGTAGGTAGCCGGTGTGATTTTCTTTTGTGCAAAGCGTTATCTCTTGGAAAAAGAATCCTTCCATATAGGTATTCGTTGCGATCGTCTCTGTTCATCCAGACCACTGGAATAAAGGAATCGCTAGCGCCCTCCTCGAGAATTGGTGAGTGCAAAACTCTTGTTATCTAATATACCAGTTGAAAACTTAAAAAACAGTGTGCACAATGTACTTTGGACTTGACCTATCGGTAAACCATCGTGTCAGTTAAGCACAAAATGTAGTAGTGAGCATCCTAAATTCAGACGCCATTGCGTTAAAGGCGGTATTTACGAAAAAGGGTACCAGGAAGTAAGAAAATAAGGTATAGTTGGGAGGGTGATGAGTTGACCAGCGTTACGACCCGCAGCGCTCTACCGTTACAGTTAAACTATTGTAAGTGATAACGCAGGGACTGACTACATATGACCGCCACCAAATCATATTAAGCCCTTCCTTTCGATGCAAAGCATACATTGCAAAAGAATAGAGAATAGAGAATGAGGATGAGTTACGCCATTGACGGGTTTCTCGATATATAAAATGACAGTGAAATAAGTACTCGCCGATGTTAACATTAATTACATCATTTCCAATTCGAATTGATATGAGCAAGAAAGCGACCACAGAAGCTATAAGTCTAATGATGTTGAAAAAAAAGAATAAGGTACCGACTCACTTGTTGACGAAGGTCATCCTTGATTTTCATTTTTTGCTTGATGCTCTTCCGGTTACTGATCTTCCTCAAAACGTCATATGTGTTGTAGGTACCGTAGGGCACGTGAAAATAAGATTTAGGGGCCAGTGGGGGCTTGCACAATCTTTGTTTCGGGCAATCTCCGTACATAATGGTTGGATCGAAAAAAGTAATGGCTGTTGACTTTTTCTTTTGTGCCATTACGTAAGCTTCCATTGCGTCAGCCTCTCTGTGGAGTCATCAAAGAAAAAAGAATGGCGGCGAGGGTAAAGTTCAAAAACAAATTGCATCGTTTCGAGAGATTGCAGCGGAAATTCCCAAGTTTGGTTAGATACTTGGATAGTTATGCGAACGAAGAATTGAGCCTTATCGGTGGCGGGTTTAACAAAATATTAACCAGCAGATATTTTTTTGATGGAAAGTATTGGGACAGGGGAATAAAAATTGGGGACGAAAACAAGTCTAATCAACATAATGGATTAGTTTTTCCCCTAATATATTCCACCCTTTTTCTCCTATTCCGAATGCTTACCTAATCCGGTTGTAAGAGGCATTCCTTCATTCCCCTCAATAATGCTCCACCATAAAGATTAACGAGATGGGTTACGGCAGCTTTACGCCTGAATCTTCAAAACGATTTCGGGTCGTGCGATTTTTGCTGTATTTAGAACGAATTTGGGCTTACTCCAACAAAATGCGATTGAGACAACTTAGCGAATGAGCCGGTCTAGATATAAAGAGAGAGACCATATGAAACCGGTTCCAAGGTGTTGGAAATCTATTTTAGCTTACCATTGGTGTTTTCGGAGCACCGTACGAAAACCAAACTATTTAAGCCTACTGGCTGCTCGAGAAGATCGTTGCGATGGAGCTTTGGCGCTATGTAGCAGTAGCCGAGCCAGTCGTTTGATGCTGAAGAAGTTTAAAAAAGTGGTATGTTTCGTTGATGTTCCCCTTCCAGATGCGCCAGAAACAACTCGAGCTATTTGATTTAGGTGTGTCGAACTCGATATTGTGACTATCGTGGCGAGTACAGGAATCCGCCTATTTCGCCTCCGGAACCTGATTCGGCCATTCACGTGCTTTTAACAAAATTGTAGAATTCCCTTCCCTCACCTTAGGCTCTCCTATCGTACGACTCTTTGCTGGAGAGATGTTACTCGGTCTGCATACAACAGACGCATTTGTTTTTTTCGCACTTGAGCGATGCCGCGAGTGGGCCAGTCGTGTCTACGCGGTTGTGTGCCTGTCTGTTCCTCTTGATCAAAATTTTATGAAGAAAAAAGTCTAAGTGAAAAGGGAGCACACCTTTGCTGATTTTTGAAGTCTATAGTTCAAGTTTCTAAAGGCATCGACAACCGCGCTCGGTTGCCTAAGAATTTGTGCACGCGATTTGCTCGAGTTTGCAGGAACGGCCTGAACGGGCCGCATTAGTCGTGTTTCCTTTGGTTCTGATACAATTGCCTTCTTTCTCTACAAGATTGTCTACCATGGCGGTGTTTGAAATTGTTGTAACGTTCGGCTTTATTCCGCTTTTCTTCTCCTCTCTAATGCATTTCGTTTCCGTTGGTTCCTTTGATTCACTTTCCTTTCTATTATGTTGCCGGAATATAAATGAGCGCTGGGTTTGTCTCTCATACTGTTATAGTTCTTTTGGCAACATAAGTGCCCTCCTGTAGGAAAAACTTTTGGGAGAATTGGATAAAACTCTTCACCACTGCTGCTTTTTATGCCTGAAATTTGTGCCGCACCAACAAAGAGGCTTCCAGGTTCGTATACGAGTTTTCACCTAAGACCGCGGAGAAGTGGCTTTGGATATTTTCTGGAGTTGTGTTGAGTTTGTAGGAAGTACTTTGTATTGTTTAGGTTCCCTAGCGGTTAACCCTAATTTTCAAGACAGCCTTGTTGAACAACTCCTCTTTTGCCATCATAACCTAGGTGAAGGAATTTTAGCAACTAAGAAAAATTACCAGGGAACCAACTACTGCCTGAATACCTAAATGTAAAGGAGATGAGAGCTTTAAAATCTGGGTTGTAGTGTTTTGTGTCCCCTCTCCCCCTTCTAAACAATACTGATGATAGCCCCGCCTGAATGTTCATCCCTGTCATTGCCATTGTCATTGAAAGCATTTTTCTAATTAAATACTTTTTCAAATTAAAGAGAATGTGCGACCATGGGCAGGGATGATTGTTGGCGTGTCGATCAATTGAATAGTTCTTTGAGCGAATCCCCCAGTACTTTGCACACTGTATTGAAGCGTGGTGGAGAACGAGACGGATATTATCGAAATTGAGGTGTTTAATGTTTTTGAGGGAAATTCTGCTTTAATGCTGAACGGTCATTTATATTCCGATAACGTTAGACATTCTCGTTTAACTTAATTCATAGTTATTGTAATAGTGCATTTATGGACTGTTAATATGATGGATAGGAATCACTTAAATAGATCTATACAAACCACAGGATATTTCACAAATGAGACATCATGGGATAGGATGAGAGCTCCCCATGAAGGAGTACTCAAGTGAGTTGATCAATCTCACAACGACAAACTCACAAGCCAAAACAGAAAGTCAAAACAAGACAACAGACATGTTGACAGCAGTCTTGGCTGCAGGCATAGTCAGCATGGTAACGCTGCCTTAACTTCCGCTGGTCGTCATCATTCAGCAGTGTTTGGATCTGACTCAATTGATAACAGTGAAGGCTTTGTTCTGTCTTGAGGTGGATTGTGTGGAATGTCTATGTATACAATGAAGGACGCTAACCGATGAGACGGGAAAAGAACTTTATTCCTTTTAATGTACTCTTATAAACTTCATAGAAGTCCCACAATTCTAGAAAGAACATACTCGATTCCTTTAGCGCCGTGTCATTTGGTAGGCCCAAGGTTTCTTTGTTACTGGTATCAATTGATCGGAAAATGGGTACTCAGAATTCAGTAGGATCGGATTTCTTGATCTCTCTGGTTCTAGACCTTGTACCATTCTGAGCTGGTGATTTTCTCTATAGCGACAGATATGGAGGAATCATCCAGATCGACAACATTATGGTCCGCCAGAGTTGTTTATGAGTGAAAGAGGCTCAAAAGGAGAGAAGGCATTTCACATCCGTTCGAATAGATTGTGGCTTAAGAATTTTATTGCTCCAGGGTTTCAACTTCGGATTGAGGTCTCCCTCCGTTCGCACTCATAAGAATTTAGCATAGCGGGTTGGACAAGACTGCAATACATAACCTCTCTATGAACTTATTGCAAGCGATGGTGTAGTGGTAACTGGCGACTACCACACACTCCGCCCAGGGATCGAATCCCAGTAGTGAAGCTTCATCGATGGAGAATTCGTAACAACAATGGTCTTCGGATCAGTCCAGTCTCAAATAGCATTCGGATCTCACTGTAACAGTGGAACAAAAATAGTCGCTAAGGACTCACAATCATCAGAAAAAGGAAACCACAGAACGAACGCAACAAGTTATGTTTAATGAATAACACGCAACAAAACTTTCGCATAAATGGTCCGAGACATTTTTGGCTTAATCTCATCAATGATCATACAACTATACACGAGTAATCTAAGAACACGACTGATATTTTTACCAAGAGCGTAATCGACACAACTATTAAAACTGTCCTGAAAAAAGCCATAAACGGAGAATCATTGACAAGAAATAGTGAAAAGAGTGAAGAAAAATCACTTCGGTTCAATTTCTCATCACCCGATAGAGCAAATTACCTAAAAGCTCGAATTAGCAAAGCTGAACAAAATAACGCTGAATATTATTTTGCACAGTGGCTCGTTAGTCTAATCATCTTCTGCAAAAATTTTGCGCATTCATTTATCTTCAAAGCTTTAGTCTAGCTGCTGCAGGATGCAGCATGCTTGAGGAATCACCCTGCGTTCGAGCATTACCGCTACCCGGCCGCTACGCAACTACACGCCCTGCGTTCAGTACTGCTATTTCATTGAAATTACTAGCAATCTCGAAAAAAAGAAAGCGGTTGCGAGGTGTGATGTCGATCTTCACAAATATGGTCTCAGAAAAATAACCGAATTCATAATCTGCGCGATTCTTGAAGCCAGAAAGTAAAATTAGTTCACGCCATGTTTAAAGATGATTGAAAGTAACGAACCGTGATTGCATCTAAAGTACGTCATACGCACCACAACATAAATACGAAGCAGAAAACATTGCCTACATAGCTCCGACATAATATCACAACAAATTCATAGCCACTGAGTGTTCAAGTGCATAATAACTGCAATTGCAATTACAAACGATGGGAGAAACGGTGAGAAGGTAGGGTAGAAGGCAGCGATTACACAGCCACTGGATGTTGTGCAATTTGTTGAACAGTACCGCTACAGCGGTAACAAATGTACGATGGCAAAGATTTGGCACTCTCGGCTGTCATACCGATGCACACATAATGATACCAACGAGCGCAGCCAGCTTCGCATAAAATCCATCCTACAGTTTCACCTGTAAGCAAATTATTTACTTGGGTTCCTCTGAAAACAAAAGGAACCTATACGCACATATGGCTAAAGAGATCAAGCTAAATAATTCAAGCTTTACGTACAGCCACCATTATTTGCATAAAACTTGCAGCTCAAAACTGAAAAGCTGCAAGCTTACATCCTTCAGGTTCATACGCCTCATGTTCCATATCATTAGCATAGTAACAGGGATACATACTTCTTGAGAAAGATGGAACGCTGGCGAACAGGTCCACAAATAAATTGAGCGTCTTCAAAACACCTACCGTAGGGTTTTAGACATGTGTCGGCAGAACACTGCTCGTCGTCCTGATGGTATACGACACGTGATCGTTTCCGTTCCTTCTTGGCCAAATGTTTTCCCGAATTTCGCTTTCCGCGTTTTTGTCGAACAAAAAGGGAAGGCAATGGCGATGATCGTGCAGGTCGATTTCGCATCTCCATCCAAGCTCTGCAATGTCAGATTACAAGAAAGTGTCTATAACTTTTCCAACCAAAAACCTCTCGATAAAAATCTAAAATAAAACTTTGTCGAGGAAGAAATTTTTGAACGAGTGGGAGCTGTGAACTTATACCAATAACGGTACCTCTTTTGTTGTGCTAAGATATCCGAGCAAGTTTTCTGTATAATCGAAACAACTTTAGGCAAGATATCCATATCAAGAACTTCGCATGCTAGCACAGACTCCACAGCTGTTTGAGCTCTAAAAATGCACTATCATAAGATAACCGCTCGAAAAAGCTTTTCCCAATACCATATCTCACTTTAACAAAATGAATGATAGAGAAGTATACCTTTCTTCTAGTTCTATGCTCAACTCATCCTCGTCGCTGATATTTGATAGGAGGGACTTCGCATTAGAAGACAATTCACGTCCTCGGCAAATCATCTCTCGAACCAGAGCGAACTGTTAAAGTGTAAACGTTCTCGGTTCTCAGTGGAAACTCATCATATTCAATGTATCCAACCTCTAGCGAGTTCTGAGGAGCTAGATTGCACGCGGCTTGAACATCTTCGATACATGGTCTTCGCCCGCGCAGACACCTCACACAAAGATATGTACATTCAGGAAGACGATCCAAAAAGGGATCCCATTCACAGCACGTGCCTTAAGAGGAGCAAGATATTCCATGCGAATGTATTGACAAAGGCCAAGTTTTTGAAGTTTACCGTGGTACTTCGCACGACAAAGAATGCATACTAGAAGATCCGCATCAGGATTCCCAGGACTTGCACAAACACATGTGTCAGCGACATTTCGTTGCGTATTGATCAGCTGCAGTGAGCCTGAAATGGATGTTATGTGAAACCTCACATACGACACTGCTTACTCCAAAAAGCGAAGATATGAAACTAACCTATGAGTGCTCGAGATTGCGCTCTCAATGAACACAGATGTTGCTTCATCTCCGTTGAGCTGCCAAACTCACTCAACTGCAGCCTGAACTCTTATCCTTTGCAACTCTTATTGAATTATATATTTTTTTCGAGGAATAAAAAAGATGTGATTAGGAAATATTCTCGGGCATACCTGAAAGGATGCTCGAAGAAAAATTGAACTGAAACGCATAGGGACAACCAGACGGTCTTTACATAACATTGCAAAAGTGCTTTTCAACTCCAAATTTTGCTGCTCACACGTTATCTTTTTTGGGTGGGGTGATCACGTATCTGTATCGACACAACACTATAAAAAATGAACCAACCATTGTTCTTCAGGTGCTAAGTCCTCATTCAAATACCGAGGGAGTGACTGTCCTTCCACTAAAGCAGCGAGGTCGTCTCGATCCCGAATGATCTGCATTACCAAATTTTAGATATTTCGAAAAAAGGTCTCTTTCGATTCACATTAGGAATCCAAACATCAGGAGAACATCAGGAATTATTAACACACCTCAACAAGATTATAATAGGAGGCCGGCTTTTGAAACAAGTTGACGAGGCGTTGGGTAAAGTTAAGTAGGCTATCCTTTACATCGAGCAAACTGTCGTATAAGCCTGAGTTGGTTAGGAATCTGTAAAAAAGGGTTCTAGTTACAAGCTATAAGCAGAAGTACACTACAATAAAAGGTAAATTAAGAAAAGACGCCAAAATTATGTGCTTTGATCGCATACTTCGAGCTTTCACATTCCTTTATAAGGTCCATCGTTTCATTCAAAGACACCTCTTCCTGTTGTGCTCGCTGTTGAACAGCATACAGCCGCACTATTTCCTCTCGCATTGTGCTCATGACTAGAAAAGGAATATTGACTTCACTGTGAGAGTGAAGAACTTGATATCTACTGATAGGCAGAAGATAATAATTTGAGGTCACCTGAATGCGCTCTAGCTTGAAACTCAAAAAACACTTTTTTAAATCGGCAACACCTCACAGGAGGAACATGTCTACGAGCATGGCACAGTCGATTCGGATAATCACCATTCAATAGTAAGGAATAGGAAGTTTTAAAATTACGGGGGGATTGCCATTTTCACGTTGTTCAAAACATCGTACTAGGTTGATCGGCAGACCCTCAGTTTTGTAATTTTTTTCTTCGTTTTCTCAGCATACATTAGAAATCGATCAACAATTAGTCACTACAGTGCTGGAAGTAGGTGAGTGTCTGAACATTTTCATTACCAAAAAAGCACTGAAAGGGTGGTTCACGTGAAAACCAAAGGTTTTGTCAGTAAAACGGGAGTGGAGTGATGGGGTGCTAGCCTACAGCACGCCTCTCTGAATTTTCGAGGCGCTTCTGGAGCTAAATCGAAGTCTTTGTGGGATTAAAAAAATATATGCCAGAGCCCTAGACAAGACCCGACTCGAGCGGAGATCGCGACCCATTTCTAGAACTTCCGCGAAGTTGTGGAGGTGCGCGGATAAAAAACAGCACTGAACGCTTGTCTTTGCGTAGAATGTTCCATGTGAGTTGCCTTCGGATGGCAGAAGCAGAAGAAGATAGTCTTCATGGTGCACACGTTCGATATGGGATTGTATGGTTGTTATAGTCTTCCCAAAACCTCACCTGGAACCTATTCTTTCACCCTTCACGTAACGCCTTTCATGGAAGATGTCGCCACTCTTGCGAATTAATCATCGTGCGCAAAGTTAATGAGGATACTCGGCTACATGTATCTTTTGCAAAAAAAGAACGAGAATCGAATGTTTCTGAGTCCCAAAATGAAACCTCTGATATCCTTTTTCAATCTAATCATTAATCAAAAAATTCGTACTTTTGGTATCGAGCCAGTCTGATTCACGAATTTCCTTCCAAACATTTTCCAAGTCTTTTTCGTTTGCTGTAGAGTCTGCGAGTAACAGCTCAACCTGAGAAAAATGGATAAGTTAAGGAGATAAAAGGAGCGAAAATTGTGGGGTATGAACCTTTGACTCATCCAACAGAGCTGCCTTAAGTAGAGAGTGCAGGCGATTCACTGGTGAAGAAGGGCCGCCGTTCGGGAATAACCGAGCTCCATCAGATACCAAGCTTGAAAAGTGGTTTTTATGAACATTTCGAAGAACAAAACATTATAACTTTCCACAATGGACCTCGACATGGGCCCATCGCAGAAAAATGACTATGGTTTTGCTCAAGCATACCGCAAAACTTCGTCAGGCTTCCACCGTTTAATCGTCAAAAAGTCATCGCTTTCCTCAATTCCTTCTGCTGTGGTCCATTCCAACACGTATTTAGCGTTATCATTCCATTCCCGCATTTCGATAGTCTTAAGAAATACGAACAATACAGCATCCTCACATAAAGCAAGATGAGTGACGGTAATGGCCATACCCGCCAAAGTTGGTCCACTTCATCCAAACGAACATCAAAGTCTTCCCCTTGCTCCGCGAGTGCACGTAAACTAGTGCTCGTCAGGAGTGCGTCATCGTCTGTACATTTCTTGATGGCGTCACTCGCTTCTGTTTGCCAAGCTTCAATCTTCTTGATGAGCTCCTCAAAAAACTCAATTAAGCAAGCTATCAAAGAAAGAAATACTCATCAGATAAAACCTCAAGCTCATGAACGAGATTCTGCTGGTCACATGGAAGATTTCTCAATTCATCAATGAAGTCATGGATGCCTCCCAAATCCAAGCGAGTATCTGCTCTTTGTATCCTCGTTTTGACCCTGAAAGCATAGTTGCCTGCTCGTGGCACAGTGTAAATTAAGAAACAGGGAAAAATCAGTTCAAAGCCAACTGGGCATACCTTGTTCTGATTTTTCCATTGAGGAGTGTTCGAGCCTTCTCCGCCGCAGCGTGGCAGACTTTGCTGATGTCCTGGAGTTTGACTAACGGGCTTGTATGCGGGAACCGTTTATGTCGCGCTGTTTCCAAAAGACTCTCAACAGCGCTCAAGGCTGAAATCATTACAATGCATAGTAACCACGAATAAAGTGTTTTAAGTATTGAAAAATGAATATGAAAGGATGCAAGATTAAAATATTACATGGTTTGTTGTGAGAATCGTTCAGCAAACTGTCCACTTGCTCTTTCCAATCAAAGTAGAGAGTAGTACGTTCTTCCAGCTTATGAACGATTTCGCCAAGTTCTTCCACAGTGTAACGATATCTTAATAAAAACATTGAGCCAGAGAAAACACCAATAAAACGAGAAGTCCTACTTCAGTGTACATTCAGAAGGCGGGCATTTACTACACAGATGATCAATGTGTTCGAGGCATACTGTTTTTCCATGTGAACATATTAAAGCGGAAAGGAACACGGTGGTGTTACAATACCTAAAAATACACTTCAAGAGTACCTTGTCTGTAAAAAATAATATTCTGCTGATATTCAGCTTATGCCGCTTCAAACCTGCAAACGCGAGCATCATCTGCAATGGACTCGAAATTCTCTCTTTGTGACAGTGATACTCCGTGATTGACAACACGCGTCCTATGCTGAGTCTCTCGCTTTGCAATCTTCAAATTACAGTCATGATATTACTTTCAGTCGTCTTACTACAGTTCTCTGATCACTTTATTCAAAAAATGACTAATTTCACTTGAAGCATTGAAACCCGATTGAGTACCTCCAGCATTTCATCCAAAGTCGCTAAGCTCATAGCAATTCCTAATTTTTCGCAAGAAGAAGCCATTTTCAGCACCAACTCATCGTGAGAGAATACACAAAACCGGCGGACATCAGCATATTCAGCGATGCATTTACGTCCCTTGCTCAACTAAAATATATTGTTCATGACGCAAAAATAAAAAATCCATACTATGTTCATTGTACGCACCCAATCAATAGGAGCGAAGTTCACAGCTTCTGCAAAGTTAAGACCCTCATTGTATCCCGCATGATATGCCCGAGGGAAAGTGATCACAAATTCGCCAGCATTTTGATGAACCTTAAGAAACCGTGAAATTTTGGAGTGAGAGCCATACAAAAAGAGAAAAACGTACCGTCCATATTTTTACTCCCATTGAAATCAGTATAGCTGGATTTACAGCGGTCGTCATGTGATGAAAAATATCTTTCTGTATCGTCGCTCCAGGAGCTAATTTACGTACGGTCTGGAAAGAGGTTTCCAAAATGGAAAAAAGCTTCCGAAATGCTAAATCAACTTTAAAGAGAAATGGAACATCTGCTTGGTAGTAAAAGCATCTGTAGCGTTTTAGTTGAAACAACTGATGGAATGTGCTACTGGAATTTTATAAAATCCAGATATCAGAATTATAGTTGTTCAGAAAGGAAGCATCAACCTAATCGCTGCTTTACAGTTCATATTTGATGAGCTTAGAGGAATCTAGACGCATAGCGTCGGGTATCATAGTTGTGCTTGCAATTACTACAAATTGATGATAAAGAAAAATGTTCACACCTCTTCGAACATGCTGGCATTCTCGCCACCAATTCCGTACCAAATTTTTCGCTCTCCCCTGAACCCAACATCAGATATAAACCAAACAAAATTGACCGCAGAAACACATTAAAATATCGAACCAATGATTATAATTGATGCTGTAGGTCCAATGGTCTTCCGTGTGCCAGCAGAACGTACTAAAGCACATCCCAACGTACACCCATGGAACCATCATGCCTGAGAGTTTGTTATAAATTTACAGTCAACGCTTCAGATGGTACCTACCAGATATGCCTGTTTCGATATGTGAAAGGACCGATTCTTTCAGAACTGGGAGATTATTCAAGTTCCAAGCATGATTTGCATATAAATGCTTCTGTTTCGCATCAATACCGCGATGGTCGTCTCCTTTACGAGGAAATCCACTACCCACCTTAAAATCTTATTGAAAACATTCAGACGCTCAAGTTAAGAAATGAGTGTGGGAATGAAGGTCACCTTGCTAGTTATGAGATCCGCACCATACTTAACCGATACCGTTTCTTCCGTGTCGAATACTATCCGCCAAAATTCACGTTCTACTGCATCATCTGGCACATCCTGAAATTTCAGTAGGAATTTTGAAGTAACGCTCTGCTGATTGGAGAGAACATTTATCGTGTCGGGAATGAAACTACCTCAGGTTCCTTAACGCCGAAGTAGTCAGTTTTGAACTTATTAGCATACTCGGCGAATGTGAATAGATTATACTTGACGTGAGCGTCATAGAAGCCATAGTTGAGACCAATCTTGGAAACTTCTTTTGCGACACAACTAGGACAACGCCATTCACCCTACAAGGGAGTGTTGCAAAACCTTTACAATATCCCGATTACAACAGCAGACTAGGAAAGATTAGCAAATTATAATACGTACCTTTGGGACTCCAGCCAAAGGTGGATCGCAACAGTGGGTATGAATGCTCTTGTCACAATCTTCGCATAGCAACAGACGGTCTTCATCATCACCACTACCACATACACTACAGAAAACACTTTCCATTGGATCAGCTTTTTCTGAAACAGGCGCAAGATTCAGCAACGGCAGATAGATTTTGGCGTTGGACATTTTAAGAATGTGCATTCACGCATTTGCCTCGATGTCTTCGCCTAGCTTTTGTTGCAGCCATGTTGTGCTAAATACGCGGCAAATTTTGTCACCAGCAGTATTTCTTTCTAGAGGCACAGTCACGATAATTTTGAGGTATTTAATTAGCGAGTAGTGGAAGTGCTAGTCCAGAGAGTGCAAAAAAAGGCGAAAAAATGATAAAATTAGCCTAATTATATAAATGCATGGCTTCAAAAAAGTAATACAACAGGAGTGGGACGAGAGTATGACGACAGAAGTTGCATAGGAAGTGTACTTGGACGAGTCGTTCAAATGGGTGCACCATCACATACAGCTGGCTGCAGTAAGCTGCAAGGTGTGTGTCCCGGTGCAAATGGTACAACGTCTACAGCTTTAACAACACTTAAGAACTCGTCCGCATAAGTGTGTACAGCTGGGCCGATTTTAGTGCCCTCGTTACCTCATAGCTTGGCCATTTTTCGACGCGACAGCGTCCCACAGCCTACCTTGGGCTTCACAGTTTCATAGAAGATGAAATCTCAGAAACCGTTTTTAACGTGAACTCTGCCTTTGATAGATTTCGATGGTATCAGAGATGCTGTTGGAAACAAAGCTCTGAACTCTGATATGATTTCAGTGTCAGATGTTTACTACAAAATGGTTCTTAGCTGAACTGCGCTCTCTTTATCCTTTACTCCAGAATTATAATAGCAACATTGGAATCAGTTTTACAGCAGAGTATGCCAGAAAAAGACCACGGTCACTTACTTTTAGATGTCGTTACTTTGCTCCTTTTAGGTTGCGGAAGCCCTGCCATCATTCTTCCCTTTGGACGTGCTGCTCGTCTTCTTCCCTGCATAGTTGGCTGACAATCTTCCTCACGACATTTTGTGTCCGTATCACTTTGAGGATCTTCCTCAGCAGGGGGTGTACTCTAGAAAGCGTTTTCACTCATGCACCTCATCGCCTCGTACACTTGACTAACGTACCTCTAAAACGGACACAAAAGGTTGCATAAACTTGAGATAATAAGCTTTGAGATTGGAGGTCCCGTGATTGCTTCGTACATTCACTTTTCGCGAAGCTTGAGTCCATTGTTTTTTAGATGTTACTGTGCTAGCTCCACCCAAACTTTTGACTACCTAAAATGTTTAAAGTTGTAAATACTCTGAGAAGGAGAGCATTTTGAGAATAGATAGGTATTTAAGCAGATGAATAACAAGAATCAGCGACAAGGGATCACATATAATGCAGATACACAAGCAAAGCTTGGCTACAGGCAGACTTAAAGAAATTCAAGGTCATCTTCTCTCTTTCCTCCCCTCTCTAGAGTAAATTCTGCAATTCGTTGTTTTTCAGATAAACCGAACACATGCAACACCTATAGGGATTTATGAGAAGATGCCCCTTTCCACCCACGATCATTTCAGTAGTGGAGCTTGGGTAGAAGACAGTGAAAAATGGCGCACATTTCACGAATAAATTTCTAAGTGGAACCTCACTTGAGCCAGCGGGATCTTATTTCCCTTTGCTCGCTCGATGCTGTCGGCTTTCTTTGAAAGTATGGAAATAGCAAATCCTCCCCGCAAGTAGTTTCTAGAGGGGACCATCCACCCAATTTCCGAATTCATGCCAAATATTCTGTGCCCGAGGAGCGTTCATGGCGAACCTAATGCACGCTTCCTCTTTCAATGGAAAGTAGTTGCTAACAGAAAACAGCTGATTAGTGCAGTTCTTCCCAAAAAAAGCTAGGGACTGCAAAAAAACAGGAAAACTCAATTAATAAGCAAGCGAAATTTAGTCAGTGGAAGCTTGTGAAGCTGTAAGAGTACAGAAGCTATCGGTAAGTCAGCTTTGTAGTGGTGAAACCATCCATACATAGTCATTTTTAATGTAAAACGGAAGATAATCAATGGAAAGACGAGACGAATAATCGAACAGGGAAAGAAAAATTTCCAAAAGGAAACAAAGACTTCAAATATAAACAGAAGCAAAAGGCTAACCTTGTAAAGCTTAAAGAGGTCAACATTTTTGCCATCTATCACCAGGTTTTTGAATTCAAACCCTTGCAAACGCCAGAACGTTGTAATCTTCTCAAGAAACACCTGCAACGGATAAAGACTATTCTACTGACATGATACAAAACTTAGGTTAACTTCAACTCAGCTCAGTGCATGGCTTGAGTTCTCGGGAAAGAAACATACCTGTCTTTCTCTTACAATGGCTTCAACTTCGTTGAGTTTTTGAATGCGGGGAGTGAACTCGAATGTCTCACTATTTATGGCGAAAGGTGGTTTGAAACTCTAAAATGAGAAAATTCAAGAATAAAAAAGGGCACATAAAAACTGCAGGAAAGAAAGAAAACCCAAGGATGAACCATCCATTCTTGTTGCCTACACACCGGGTGATTAGAAAATTATCAATTTTCATCCGGTGTTCCTAAGATCCTCAGAATTCCCGAATTTTTTTTCAACGTTGACAGGTAAAATCTCCCTAGAATTCATACTGCCTTCTCTAGGAGAATAGGATCTTTGAAAAGCGAGTACCAAGAAACTCAATTGCGATGTAAAAAAAACTTTCTAAACATCTATGACTAAAATGAAAGTGAAATGAACTGTAAGCAACCAGTAGTCTTAGCCGCTTCGCAACCGCTCGCCCGTTTACACGTTGGTCTCGCAAGTATGCCACTGTAAAGATGATGCAAACTCTACACAAGTCATATTACTACTCCTAAATTTGGTAGCTGGTGTGCCCATATCCACACTCAAATCCTTCTGGTCGGTCAGAAAGCCTTAAAGTTCAAGAAGAGCCATAGGGGAGTGACGATATCTGGCAACGATGAATCATTGGGGTAAAGAAACACCCATGGAAAAAAAAACTGCCTTTCGCCACTTCACTTTTAGATGGAATATAAAACAGCACATACTACCGAGTTGAAGGGGATTACGAAACATCACTTCCGTTCCAGAAATAAGTGACTACGGCGATTAAGGTAACAAATACGGAAGTTAGACATGTTAGTGGCTGACTTCAAGTGCTTTGACTTGTCCCACAATAAGTTTTTTGTGCGAAATTGTCAGCGAAAAAAACGAGATTTTAATTTTGCAGTACAACTATTCATAAGAAAACATAAATGTAGCCTTCAATAGAAACTCGAGGCTAAATATGGCTAAGAGAAATAGGATAGCTATAATCAGGACACCACATTTTGTACTTATCCAAAGAAACCCAACAAAGTTACCTCTGGTGGAACGATTTTGACGACACCATACTGTTCAGCTTCTGGGCGAATTTTCGCCACGTACGCCAGAGGATCGAGAAATTCTTCCGCAGTAGGATAATAGATGGGAGCAAACGGTGGCCGTTCAAAATATCGGTAGAATCTGTCCAAGTTTTCCATAATTCCGGAGGAATCAAAAGTCCACCAGCAGCATCAATCCCCACAGATGTCCATCTGGAAAGTTGGCTCACCCTAAGGAAAAAACTAGCGACCAAAAAAAAAAACTGAAAAGAACAAATAACTCTAAACTACGATTAATACCAGCAAGAAATGAAGTGCACAAAGAGAAATTCAGTCGGAGAAAAAAGGATTCGTCTCGATTATGGAAAGAAAGGACATGGTCTACATACAGCTCACACAAAGTTACCTTCGTGCACGAAGCCTCGCATTGGTCATGTATTGATCGAATATTTGGTGGGATGGTCTGCATTTGCACAACATCGCCATGGGGGAAGAGAAACGACGGCCATTTTTCAACCCCTGTTTTGAGTATCTCGGACCTGTACGGTTGGATTGCTGCTAATTTCACCCGCATTGCCCTGGCAGGTACGATCAACATCTCAAAAAAGAGGTTCTGAGGGCATTACCGGAGCGGAGGGTGAGCTGACAGATAACAAGTTGGAGAAAACAGCAGGTTTTCGTCTGGTAATAATGCTCGAGTGACAGCTGGTCTCATCTCTCTCCGGTATTTTCCTACGTGGATAACCCAAGAGTACTTGGGTACCGTGGATTGGAGAGATGTAGCGCTTGCTCGGCCACATTAGGAGAAGTCATGTTCAACTGAAATGGCAAAAAGGAGTGGTTAGGGCCAGGAGATTCATGTCTTCTGGGTAAATTTCTTCCCGTCTCCCTCAACCTCCTGCCGACTCTTCACTGAATGCTAGGTAAGCATGAGTATTAACTTAACAGAGTAGAAAAGTTATTGTTGTCCCTTTGTAATGATCATCTCCCTCTCCACCATGGCAACGCACTTGTACTTACATGGGGAGGAGAGGGAAACAGGGAAAGGAGTGCCCGTCTTTTGTCACTGTGCTAGCTGCAAAAGTCCCTCCCTTGTTCGACGCTATAAGCAGCGAATCAGAAAATAGAGCTTACCAAAAAAGAAGCAAACTCCGACGTTGGCGAGGCACTTGCATTGGGCGAACTGTTAAACAAGAACAATAAACATGAGCAGCCGCTCAAGAATTGGGCTGCTGCGAGAAGTTGTTCGCAGCAAAAAAGTACTTCCCAATTAGAAATTCACAGGGAGACGGTTGAAATTTGCACTATTCTGCCGTCTCCCCTGTGCTTCATCCTCACCGTAGCCTGTGTAGGGGTCAAGAGCCATGGGAAACATGTGAAGAGGAAAATATACAAATCGATCGAGAAGTATAGAGTATATAGTATAGGATTCGAGAGTCCGCGGGAGGATGCGTAGCACTCTGATTGACTTCCCTTTTCAAGGATTAAGGTAACCTGATGGCGTATTTTCCTAGTAGTACCATCTCACTACGTTCGCACGATCCTCTGATCCTATCTTTCGTCTTCGAGAGCTGTTTGTGAATAATATTTGAAGATCGATTGCAACTCTAATCTGAAAAACTCGCTTCTAGACGTACTTTTGGATCTAGTCCTGGGGATGGCCATTAAAGTCCTCGCAATGTAGTCGGAATCACCTGTTCACCTACCGTCTTGATCATCGATTTTCTCGAACAGCGCTAGTAATGTCTCCATTAACCCCTTCGAGGGGCAGTTGCGTCCATTGGATCGTTCTCGCGTGATGGACACGAAGTGTAGCATTCCTTCCGCTCGCAGTCTTCGTGTAGGAGACCGAACCTCGCTCTGACGGCTGCCCTGGTGTATTTGACGTCGCGTGGTTTCGTTTCCAGTCACTAACCACCATGGTCGTTCTTGGCTTAGTGATCTTCGTTCATTAACGGAGTTCATTACCCCGGATTTCCCTCTGCTTTTGCATGTATAGAGAAAACCTTTCCACATCGCGTTGGATTACGCTGACTTTCTTTCGTAGTGTTTAAGTGTATCAAAGCAGGAAGGACCGCACTGTCGAAAAGGTAAGCGCGAAGCCGGATAATCCTTTTCTTTGTCACTACTCGCTCGATGTTCTCAAGTACTCCCCACGCCGCGCGTTTCCTTCTGGTCAGCTCCGCTGCTAGGTCGTTTATCATATTGACTTCTCGGCCTAGAAACACATAGCTGAGCATTCAGAGATGTTCGTCACAATCAGCATGAAAAAAGCATTAGGTATCAATTCGTTTTTTATAAACATCGTCTTCGTTAGGTTCAGTTGTGAACCGGTCTTTCCACAACCAACATCGAGCAGGTGTTGCAAATGCTGGCCGAATTCAATCCATTGTCGAATCCCGCCAGCATTTGTTCCGCCTGCTCGATGTTCGGTGTTAAAAGCGATGTCGTCTGCAAAGCGGAGATGATGTAAGTAGCGGCCGTCGACCTTCTTTCTCATAGCTTCCTTCCATATTACGCATGATGTTCTCGAGGGCGGCACTGAAGAGTTTGGGCGAGATTGTATCGCCCTGTCGAACCCCTCTCTTCACCTCTTACACCTGACCTCTTACAGAATAGAAGAGTCGTGAAGTTGTTGTTGAGCTCACGAAGCATCCATACATATTGAGTAGGAACACCCTGGTTGCCCAGGGCTTCAATTGCCGCTTCCGTTTCGAAGGTATCAAAGGCTTTCTCCAAATCGATGAACGTAAGACATAACGGCATTTTGTACTCTCGCGATACTTAAATGAGTCTTGTAACGGTGTGGGTGTGATCAACTCTTCGCAGATTCCTCGCTCATACATATTGTAACAACTCTTATTGTGTGCCTTGTTTTTACATTCCTGCAATTGTTGGATGGGGAATTATTCGACGTATCGAAAACGAGATCATATTGGTGACGCTGTAGTCATTGGCTTAGAAATGTACCTTATTTCCCTCAGTATCTTTGGGTTTCTCAGGCGTGCAGGGCCCGCAAGTTTTGGCACAGATTAATTCCGCAAAATGAACTTTACTGCCCATATAGCACTTTCATTTGTTTTTCATGCGACGACAGAGCCCTTCTTCACTCTTGTCCTCACATGGATGGAACCAGTGACATAATATATTAGGTGTGTGCGTTAATTTCCGCCGCCGAATTCCAAGGGCCGTTGCGTGTGTTAAACCATGTTAGAGGTTTACCGGTGAAACCTGTCATGTTCTGTAAGGTAGGGTATTGTCTACCTACTTAAGGGCAGACAGATCAGTTTTGCCCCAAAATCCTGTTGCTATCGGACTAATTGGTCATGGAACGTGATGATCCGTTTCCCCGGGGGGCCCTTCCTCGGGTAACGTCCGTTGCGCGCATCCGTCGAAAGTAGGTCACCCCGTCTACTTCGCGCGCGGCGGACCCCACTGAGGTCTCGAAACGACATTACAGTACCACCAAGTTTCGGTAGAGCGAATGATTTGCACCTGTCCGTGTTATTTTCTCTTTAGCTGGCTGTCGTGGACCAAGCGCAATTCGTATGCCCCGCTGACAACTGCGACGTTTGCCAAAGATTGCTGGCTGACCCACCGAAACCAAGTCACGCCGCGACGTCTGCGGCGTGACCTGGTTTCGACAAACGCGCGCAACGAAGCGGACCCGCCCTTCCCCTGCTGTTTGATTTCAAGAAAACTGGAATTGAAGCCTACCGGATGCTTCTAGGAGGACAAGCTCCATCTGAACGAACCTGCTGAGATAGTTTCTCTTCACTCGAGAGATTGCAACGGAAGCGGAATTTTTATTGCCAAAAAGTAATGCTGTGCGTGGATTTGGTGGTGGAACCAGAAGGGTGTTTTGAACTATGAGCTGCTGAGTCCGAACGAAACTGTTACTGCTGAACGCTACGAACACCAACTTGACCGTATGTAGGATGCTCACACCTCCAAGCAGCCGTTAATCGCAAGGAAATGTCATGAGGTGCTGTTCCACCACCAACATGCCAGAGCACATGTTCCGAAGAATGTCCTTTAAAAAAATTGCAGTTCTTGGATGGGATAAGTGTGTTCAGCCCGCATACTCTCCGGATCTTGCTCTTTCTGATTACCACCTGTTCCGGTCCATGCAAGTTAGTTTGGCAGATATACGCTTCCGAAATGCCAAAGAAGTGCGAAAATGGGTGGATAAC